GTGCTGGGATCAAAGGCGTGTGACACCACTGCCTGGCCTGTCACAGGTTTTTAAACTGTAAGAATTTCTCACAGTTGGTGCTGCCCCGGTATATACCAGACCATGTCATAGACATGTTTGAGAAGAAGGAACTTTATTGAGTACCTACTCTGTGCCACTATAATTCTAAGTACTTTGTAATATATAATGTATATTTCATATTATAAGGTATAATTAATATAATGTATAGAGTAGCAATTAATAAATGGAGTCCGGAATCAGACCTTTTGAATTATAGCTCTATCACCAGGTGTGATTTTTAATTTTTTCAGTCCACTTCACTTACACCTTTCTTATGAGGCAGTTGTGGGGACTTTATAAATTAATTTTAACAAAGCATTTATAATAGTATTGGCACAAGAGGCGAATATGTTATCTTATTAGTTCTCAGGATAGCTGTGAGCCAGTGAGCACCCTTTGGTTCTGTAAAGGAAAACTTATTCAAAGATTTTAAGTTACTGGTTTAAGGCATACCTAGAATTTGGATTTGTATCAGTATTGCAATCGACCCTTTTCTCTGAAAAGGACTGATATGGAAAGTACACCAAAGGTCTCGTATACTATAAGTATGCTTGCTAGCAGGTAGTAGTCAGTAAGCCCAATGCTACCTTTATATAAACTGATGAAGGAACCAGTACAGGAACCAGTATAGAACAAGTCACAGCAATCAATCCCCACCCAAGATTGTGAGCTCCTTCAAGCAGAAATTGAGAGAATCGTGAGCTGGATATAGTGATGTGCACCTGGAAACTGAGACAGGAAATAGTTGGAGGCTAACCTGGGCTGTAAAGTGAAGCCATGTCTTAAAAATAAGCAGATGAATGAATCTGGAATACTTGTATTTGTATTTCTAGTAATACATACTCTATAAATGTCGGTTAATAAGCATATGGAAGAGTGGGAAGGAAAAGGCACTGAGTGATCTAGACAGGTGGAGTGCACCTTCTTCTAGATATGTGCTTGGCAGATGGAGATAGGATGATCAGGGTTAGCGGTATACTGAAAGCCCAAAACAAGCATTGTAGTTCAACTACAAGAATTGTAGTTGAACCATGTTAAGAGGTACGTTCTTTATACACACGCGACTTTGTCACATTGTAAACATTTTCATCTAATCATTTTAGACTTTAGATTATCTCAGTAATATGTTTTTGAAGCAATTTACATTTATAGTAGAGAAATTTCAAAAAATTTCTAAAATTTAAAGCACTTGTGGCAAAAGCCTGTAGCCCCAAGTACTTAGAAGGAAGAGGCAGGAAGGTCACATGTTCAAGATCATCCTTGAGTATTTGGTGAATTCATTGCCAGCCTCAGGTAGCTAAGATTCTGTCCAGGGAAAGAACAAGTTGGAAGGGGTTTTATGTGGAAATTTTAAATCATTAAGGCATGGTGATATATGCCTATGATCCTAGTATTTGGAGAGCTGACACAAGAAAACCACTGAGTTCCAGAATTGTAGATCGGTCTGAGTTATACAGCAAGACCTTGTCTCAAAATAACAAAACCAACAACCAAAAAAAAAAAAAAAAAAAAACCCCAAGCAAATCAATGCAAAAGAACTTTTAGATTTAAACCAGTTATAAATTGTTTACCTATCTATGTACTGTATTTCCACAGTACTGTAAAGTGGAAAATGATTCACTAGGTAACAGAAAACACAGATTTCTTCTTCTTCTTCTTCTTCTTCTTCTTCTTCTTCTTCTTCTTCTTCTTCTTCTCCTTCTCCTTCTTCTTCTTCTTCTCCTTCTCCTTCTCCTTCTCCTTCTCCTTCTCCTTCTCCTTCTCCTTCTCCTTCTCCTTCTCCTTCTCCTTCTCCTTCTCCTTCTCCTTCTC